GCACTCCTTGTCGAAGTCGAGGCTGGGGAGGCCGGAGGCCGCGTGAGGCGCCGCCCGCCTCCCCCCGCCCCGTGTCGCCGCCGCCCGCGCCGCCCTCAGCCCTTGCACCGAGAAGTTGAGTCTAACTCATGCCGGCCTCCCGAGGGAGCCGGTCGGTATTAGCATGGCAGAGTCATCCCGGGGCGGCCTCCGCGCGGCCTCAGCCGCGGCCTCCACGCGCGCGCTCACCCGTCGGCCGCGTCCAGGTGCTGCTCGGCGGCCACGGCCTGCTCGTCGGGGCGGCCGGCCTTGGCCAGGAAGCAGAGCGCGGGGTCGGCGCGCATCGTGTTGTACCTCTCGTAGCCTGGAAGAGCCGCCGGTGAGGCCGCAGCGGAGGCGAACGGGCGCCGGCGCCGCGGCCTCCCGCGGCTCCCACCGTGCTTGAAGACGCCCAGCAGCAGGGACTTGTCGGCCTCGGCGTCCCACCAGGCCGCGGGCACCTCCTGCTGCTCCACCAGCGGGAACCAGATGTCGACGTCGCTGCGGGAGGCGGGGGAGAGGAGGAGGCCGTGAGGACGGAGGCGGGAAGAGGCCGGAGCAGGGAAAGAGGTTGGAGGTGGGAAAGAGGCTGGAGGGGGAAAGAGGCTGGAGGGAGGAAGAGGCTGGAGGGAGGAAGAGGCTGGAGGGAGGAAGACGCTGGTGATGGGAAGAGGTTGGAGGTGGGAAGAGGTTGGAGGTGGGAAGAGGCCGGAGATGGGAAGAGGCCGGAGATGGGAAGAGGCCGGAGATGGGAAGAGGATAAAGGTGGGAAGAGGCTGTAGATGGGAAAAGGCTGGAGATGGGAAGAGGCTGGAGATGGGAAGAGGCTGGAGATGGGAAGAGGACAGAGGTGGGAAGAGGACAGAGGCGGGAAGAGGACAGAGGCGGGAAGAGGCTGGAGGTGGGAAGAGGCCGGAGGTGGGAAGAGGCCGGCGCAGAGCGCCCACCTGGCCGCGGCGCCCGCCAGCACCTTCTCGGCCTGCTCGCCGATGAGCTCCTGGCGCAGGTAGTAGAGCATGCGCACGCGGAGCAGCACCCTGCGCGGAGAGGACGGGACGAGGCCGCGTGGGACGGAGGCCGCGCCGGGGCCTCCCTCCCTCCCTCCCTCCGCGGCCTCCCTCCCCGCTTTACTTGTTGCACTGGTGCTTGAGGTGCTTCTTGTAGCCCTCGTCCTGGAAGAGCGCGGCGGGGTCGCAGCGCCGGAGCCACTCGGCCTTGGGCGCCTCGGCGCCGCCCGGCGCCTTCCCCTTCTTGCCCTTGCGGCCCCGTGGCACCGGCGCGGACAACGAGTGGTTGGGCAGCTCCTTGGCGCGGCCGTTCTCGGCGGGGCCGATGAGGTCCCAGATGAAGGCCTTGAGCGCCTCGTCGCCCCGGTAGTGCAGCAGGCAGTAGGCCAGGATGGCGCGGCAGATGGTCTCCACGTCGCGCTCGGCCAGGCGCCGCTTGAAGCGCCCGCGCGCCGCCATCTCCCGCCAGCGGCCCCAGCTGCGGGGAGAGGCGCCCGGAGGCCGGCGGGGCATCAAGGGGAGCCCCAGGAGGTCAACGTTGAACCAAGAGGAGCCCCACGAACCCAACGTTGGATCAAGGGGAGCCCCAGGAGGTCAACGTTGAACCAAGAGGAGCCCCACGAGCCCAACGTTGGATCAAGGGGAGCCCCAGGAGGTCAACGTTGAACCAAGAGGAGCCCCACGAACCCAATGTTGGATCAAGGGGAGCCCCAGGAGGTCAACGTTGAACCAAGAGGAGCCCCAAGAGACCAACGTTGGATCAAGGGGTGCCCCAAGAACCCAATGTTGAACCAAGAGGAGCCCCAAGAGGCCAACGTTGGAACCAAAGAGGTCCCAAGGGGTCAATATTAAAACAAGAAGAGCCCCAAGAGCCCAACGTTGAACCAAGGGGAGCCCCAGGAACCCAACGTTGGATCAAGGGGTGCCCCAAGAACCCAACGTTGAACCAAGAAGAGCCCCAGGAGGTCAACGTTGAACCAAGAGGAGCCCCAGGAACACAACGTTGGATCAAGGGGTGCCCCAAGAACCCAACATTGAACCTAGAGCAGCCCCGAGTTGCGGCCGCGGGCGCGCGGCCCTCACCCGTAGACCAGCAGGTGCTTCTCCACGCGGAAGCAGTCGGTGCGGCCGTAGGCGTGGGGCGGCGCGTGGGGCTGGGGGTGGCGCCGCGCGCGCGGCCGCTCCTCGTCCTCGCTCTCCAGGTCCGAGAACTCCACGAGGTCGTCGTCGCGCAGCGTGCTGAAGTGGCGCGTCTGCTTGCGCACGCGCGGCGTGTCGATCACCAGCGTGTTCTGGAGGGGACACAGCGCGGGAGGTGGCACCGGCAGGGGCCCCACGGCGACGCCGGCCCCATAAGTGAGGCCGGCCCCATAAGCGACGTCGACCCCATAAGCGAGGCCAACCCCATAAGTGACGTCAACCCCACCAGCGACGCCAGCCCCACGGCCCACCTTGCTGTTGAGCAGCTCCAGGTCCAGGTCGGCCTTCTTGGCCCACTTCTGCCAGAAGTTGGGGTCGTCCAGGGCGATGTCGGTGCGGTTCTCGGAGGCCACGAAGCTCGCCTGCGCCGGCGCGGGGGCGTCATGGCGGCGCCGCCCGGCCCCGCCCCGCGCCCGCCGCGGCGCCCACCCACCTTGGCGAAGGTGGAGCCCTTGCCCTCGCTCTCGATGGTGATGGTGGTGGTGCGGCGCAGCAGGATCTGGTCGATGTCCTCCTCGCAGAACTTGGAGCCCTCGTCGTCCTCCTCCATGATGGCGGCGTAGGCGCCCTTGCGCAGCAGGTCCTCAATCTCCTTCTTGGAGAACTGCTGGATCTGCCATGGAGGAAGAGGAGGGGCCTCAGGAGGCCAACGGCGGAACCAGGAGCCCCAAGAGGGCAACGTTGGATCAAGGTGTGCCCCAAGAGGCCAACGTTGGAACCAGAGGGGCCCCAAGAACCCAACTTTGGGAGTTCCAAGAGGCCAACGTTGAATCGAGGGGTGCCCCAAGAGGTGAATGTTGGGCCTAGAGGGGCCCCAAGAAGCCAATGCTGGACCAAGAGGAGACTCAAGAACCCAACACTGGAACTCAGGGTGCCCCAAGAACCCAACATTGGACCAAGAGGAGGCCCAAGGTGCCCCAAGGAGCCAATGTTGCGCCAAGAGGAGCCCCAAGGAGCCAACGTTGGAGCTCAAGGTGCCCCAAGACCCCAACGTTGGAGCCCAAGGTGCCCCAAGAACCCAACGTTGAACCAAGAGGAGCCCCAAGAACCCAACGTTGGAGCCCAAGGTGCCCCAAGAACCCAAAGTTGAACCAAGAGGAGCCCCAAGAACCCAACGTTGAACCAAGAGGAGCCCCAAGAACCCAACGTTGGAGCCCAAGGCGCCCCAAGAACCCAACATTGGGCCAAGAGGAGCCCCAAGAACGCAACGTTGGAGCCCAAGGCGCCCCAAGAACCCAACATTAGGCCAAGAGGAGCCCCAAGAAGCCAATACTGAACCAAGAGGCGCCCCAACGTCGCCCCCAGCAGCGCCCCGTCCCCCCACCATGCTCACCCCGGCAATGCTGCCCTCGCGGCCGCTCATGGACTGCAGCACAGCCTTGTCGAGGCCCAGCTTGAGGCTGGCCTTGTCGAACATCTCCCGCTCGTAGGAGTTGCGCGTGATGAGGCGGTAGACCTTGACGGCCTTGCTCTGGCCGATGCGGTGGCAGCGCGCCTGCGCCTGCAGGTCGTTCTGGGGGTTCCAGTCCGAGTCGAAGATGATGCAGGTGTCGGCGGCCGTCAGGTTGATGCCCAGCCCGCCCGCCCGCGTGCACAGCAGGAAGACGAAGCGGTCCGAGTCGGGCCGGCTGAAGCGGTCGATGGCCGCCTGCCGCAGGTTGCCCCGCACGCGCCCGTCCAGGCGCTCGTAGAGGTACCTGTGGGTGAGGGGACGTTGTCCCACGGCCACCACGGCCACCACACACATCCCCACACCCCACGCACCTCTTCTGGATGAGGTAGTCCTCCAGGATGTCGAGGCAGCGGACCATCTGGGAGAAGACGAGCACCTTGTGGCCGCCGGCCTTGAGCTTGGGCAGCAGCTTGTCGATGAGCACCAGCTTGCCGGCCGAGCGCACCATGGCCTGCAGGTGGAGGTCGGGCGGCGGCAGCGCCGGCCACGACTCGCGGAACTCGGCCACGATCTTCTCCTCGGCGCCTGCGGGGAGGCCGGCGGGTGGGCAGGCGGGGGCGGTGGCCACCACGACCCAATGGAGGTGGAGGAGGAGCCTCCACGGCCACCACAACCCCATGGAGGAGGAGCCTCCACGGCCACCACAACCCCATGGAGCAGGAGGAGCCTCCACGGCCACCACAACCCCATGGAGGAGGAGCCTCCACGGCCACCACAACCCCATGGAGGAGGAGGAGCCTCCACGGCCACCACAACCCAATGGAGCAGGAGGAGGAGCCTCCACGGCCACCACAACCCCATGGAGCAGGAGGAGCCTCCACGGCCACCACAACCCCATGGAGGAGGAGCCTCCACGGCCACCACAACCCCATGGAGCAGGAGGAGCCTCCACGGCCACCACAACCCCATGGAGGAGGAGGAGCCTCCACGGCCACCACAACCCCATGGAGGAGGAGCCACCCAAGACAAAAAGCCCCCAAGTCAAGTAGCCCCCAACCCAAGTAGACCCCAAAACAAGAGACCGAGCCAGGAGGGGCGGGTGGGTCCCCAGGTTGTCCCCCGTGGCGGCCACGCGCCCCTCACCGTTGATGAGGTAGGGGTGGTTGCAGCACTTGCGCAGCTCCATCATGGTGTTGAGCAGGTTGGGCATGTTGGTGTGCCCAGCGCCCTTGGACAAGAAGGAGAAGTTCTTTTCCAGGATGGCCCGGTAATATTTCTTCTGGATGTTGGTGAGCTCCACCTCAATGATGGTCTCCTGCTTGGGGGCCAGGTTCTTCTCCACATCCTCCTTCAACCGCCGCAGCATCATGGGCTTGAGGATGGCCTGGAGCTTCTGGACCTGCGTGGGGGACCACGGGGACGTTGAGCGCGGGGCCGGGGCGAGGCGGGGTCAGTGGCAGCTCTTCCTCCTCACCTGCTCCTCCGTCTTGAGGTCCCCAAAGTCCTTGAGGAACTCGGCCTCCGAGGGGAACTGCGAGGGCTCCAGGAAGTGCAGGAGGCTGAAAAGCTCCTCCACGGTGTTTTGCAGCGGGGTGCCCGTCAGTAGGACCTTGTGCTCCTGCCACGGGGGGACGGACGGTGCCCTCAACGTGGTGCCCACCTCGAGGAGGAGGAGGAGGAGGAGGAGGAGGGCGTGCGGCGCTCACCAAGTCCATGTGCTTGAGGCTGTCGAGGAGCTTGCAGTTGCGGTTCTTGAGGCGGTGGGCCTCGTCGATGACCACGCAGCGCCACTCGATCTCCCGCAGCTCGGGGCAGTCCGACAGGATCATCTCGAAGGTGGTGATGAGCGCGTCGAACTTGTAGGCGCCGGGGATGAGGCGGCCCTGCGCGGGCAACCGCCTTGAGGGCGCCTCCGAGACCAACGCGGAGGTCCCACCAGGCCCGGGAGGACCTCGAGGCACCTCCAACTGCCCCACCACGCGTGTCCCTACCCGGGCGTCCTTGCAGTACATCTCGTACTGCTGGATCATCTGCCGCGAGGCCAGGCTGCCGTGGTAGACGATGGTGTTCATCTCGGTCCACGTGTTGAACTCCCGCTCCCAGTTGGTGATGGTGGAGAGCGGCGCGATGACCAGGAAGGGCCCGCGCACGCCCACGCCGTAGACCTCCTGCAGGAAGGCGATGGACTGGATGGTCTTGCCCAGGCCCATCTCGTCAGCCAGGATGCAGTTCTGCCTGTGGGGACACGGGCGGCGCCGCGTCAAGGACGGCGTCGCGTGGCGTGGTGTCGCGCGCGGCCCCCGCGCCGGCGCCCCGGCACTCGCCTGTTGTACCAGTTGAAGAGCAGCCAGTTGACGCCCTCGAGCTGGTACTCGCGGAGCTGGTTGTGGTTCTTGTACTCGCGCGAGAGCTCCAGCTTGGTCCAGGAGCCCGCCTGCGGACGCGCCTGCGCGACACGGAGGTGGTGGCGGTGGTGGGACACGGCGCGCGGGGAAGGCGGGGAGATGCGCGGGGACTCACCACGCGCTTGAGCTCCGGGTGCCGCGCCTGGATGCGCTTGAACTCGCCGATCTTGCCCTCGTCCACGTCCTCCTTGAGCTCCCACGTGCTGTCCTCGTAGGGCAGCGAGCACCACTTGACCAGGTAGTAGACCACGGGCTGGCCAGGAGAGCATGGGGGAGAACGTCAGGGTTGCCCAGAGTCCTCCAAGGCCAAAGAACGGGCTGCCATGGCCAAAAGATGGGCCACCATCTCCAGAAGTTGGGCCACTATCTCCAGAAGATGGGTCACCATGGCCAAAAGATGGGTCACCATGGCCAAAAGATGGGCCACCATCTCCAGAAGATCGGTCACCATCTCCAAGAAGATGCACCACCATGTTCAGAAGATGGGCCACCGCCTCCCAAGAACAGGCCGCTCACCTCGCCGTTGTCCTTGTCGACGCTGTGCGACTCATCCAGGATGCGGTCCACCTCCACGTAGTCCGGGTTGAAGGGCTCCTCATCCTTGGGGAGCGGCGGCGTGAGGAGGCCGTGGCGCCGGCGCCCGTGCCGCCCGCCCCCTTGGTCCCCGTCTCGCTACCTCGTGGAAGAAGTGCCGCATCTGCGTCATCTTGGTCTTGAAGCGCTTCAGCTTCTGGTGGATCCTCTTGTCCTTCTCCAGCTGGTCGATGGTGGCCCACTCGCAGTGCAGGTAGGAGCTGGGGGTGGAAGGGACAACGGGGACAACGTTCGGACGCCGGCGTCGCCAACCGCACAGCGCTCGGGCCCGAGGAAGCCGCGTTTGGAGCACAACGACCCCACTGGGGCCACGTTTGGGGTCCCTCGAGTCACGCGAGGCCCCACAAGGTCCCACCACGCGGAGCAGCTCGCGGGGACACCTACTAGTTCTTGTACTTGACGAAGAACTCCTCGGACTCCGTGAACTGCCCCGACGGGAGCTGCGGGCAAGGAGGAAGAGGAGTTGGCGCCACCGGAGAAGCCCCCGGGGGGACACGGGGGACGTTTCTGCTCGGGGACGCCCGGCACGGGACGGCGCCCCAGGGGAAACATCTCACCTCTTTCTTGACCACCCGCATGGAGAGCACCTTGTCCACGATGGCGGCGTCCTCCTCGCTGGGGTTCTCCTGGAGGAGGCAGAGGGAGGAAGAAGGTCAAGGGATGGCGGCTCCCCAAGCGCCCCGTTGGCCACCCGTAGGGAGGACTCACCACAAAGAACTGCATGGAGGGCAAGGTCTCGCCCTCGGGCTCAGGCTCGGGCACGGGGAGCTGCGGGGCCGGCGGCTGCTCGGTCCTCACGGGCCCCGTGACGTCCAGCTCCTCGTCCTCCTCGTCGTCGGTGATCTTGATGTCCAGGTCCTCCGTGTACTTCTTGCGCTTCACCTGCCGGTTGGAGCGGCGCTTCTGGAGCGGGAGGAGAAGGGAAGGAAGGGTGACGACAAGATCCCCGCTCCGAGGCAACAGGGGGGGACAGCCCAACTCAGTGGGGATGAACTGGGGCAACCCGAGTCAAGAGGGATCACTTGGGACAGCCCGAATCAATGGGGTGAACTGGGACAACCCGAGTCAAGAGGGATCACTTGGGACAGCCCGAGTCAATAGGGGTGAGTTGGGACAAGCCCAGTCAACGGGGACGGGTTGGGACAATCCCAGTCAACAGGGACGAGCTGGGACAATCCCAGTCAACGGGGAGGGGTTGGGACAATCCCAGTCAACGGGGACGGGTTGGGACAATCCCAGTCAACGGGGATGCCTCAACAGGGACCAGTTGAGATGACCCAAATGACGAGGGATGATCTGGGAGAACTTGAGTCAACAGGGATGAGTTGGGATGACCCAAGTCAACGCGGACAAGCCAACGGTGATGAGCCGGGACAGCCCAAGTCAATGGAGACCAACCAGGACAACCTGAGTCGATGGGGATGAGTTGGGACCACCCAAGTCAACAGGGATAAGTTGAGACAATCCCAGTCAACGGGGACAAGTCAACAGGGATTTGCTGGGACAACCCAAGTCAACGGGGACAAACTGGGACAACTCAAGTCAACGGGGACAAGCTGAGAGCATCCAAGTCAACAGGCACTCACTGGGACAACCCAAGTCAACGGGGACAAACTGGGACAACCCAAGTCAACGGGGATGAGTTGAGCGCATCCAAGTCAACAAGAACTAAGTTGGGACAACCCAAGTCAACGGGGACGAGCCGAGAACGCCCAAGCCGGCAGGGTTGAGGCGCGAGGGCCGCAGCCTTCACCTGCACGCTGCTCTCCTCCTCCTCGCGCGGCGCTGGTGCCGGCATCGCCTCGGCGTCCGAGTTGTCCGAGGACGCGTTGCGCTTGCGCTTCTTGCCCACCACGGGCGTGATGGTGCTGGGGGCGAGGAGAGGAGGCGGCCGGTGGCGCCGCGGCCCCGCGGGGCGCCCGGAGCCGC